TGAAAACTGTGTAGCCCTCTACCCACACCCTTGTAGGAGGCCCACACAGCTGACAACGTCGTATCACTCTACCCACGCCTTGTAGGAGGCCCACACAGCTGACAACGTTGTATCACTCTACCCACGCCTTGTAGGAGGCCCACACAGCTGACAACGTTGTAACCCCCTACCCACACCTTGTAGGATGCCCACACAGCTGACAACGTCGTATCACTCTACCCACACCTTGTAGGATGCCCACACAGCTGACAATGTCGTATCACTCTACCCACACCTTGTAGGATGCCCACACAGCTGACAATGTCGTATCACTCTACCCACACCTTGTAGGAGGCCCACACAGCTGACAATGTTGTAACCCTCTACACACACCTTGTAGGAGGCCCACATGTGAAGGTTCACATTTGTGCATAATGTTTAACATATTTATAGTGGTTATAACAAGTTATCTCTGAATAATAACAATCATGGATATCGACAATGTATCTTGGTTTTGTTTCGTGGCCAGTTGATACAAATAAAAAATAAGAGAAGCTACAAAACTTTATGAATCAAAACGTTTTGATGTAATAATGAATTGATGGACTGACCGTAAAATATCCATATTCGTCTGATGAGATACTGAGTTATTGCCATTTAGCACATCCCGCAGGGAGAACCCTTTCACATAGAAATACGATTCGTATCGAATGGTATTATATTTAGGACACATGAAAAAATAGTGGAATACATCCTCATAATCTTGTGAGCAGGAACAAGAAGCATTATCAGAAATGAAACGATTATACTTATCAATGTTTAAGTCACTGCATCCCAATCTAAGGCGGCAGTGTATTATTTGACAAAATCGACTACCAAAATTTGGATCGAACATTGTGTTGGTATTAACTTGTGGTGTGATTGAATTCTTAAACTGTCCAACAGAGGAAGCGTTTGTAGCATTTGTAGGTAGGTCATTCCACAGTTTAATTGTATCGGGCAAAAACGATTTAGCATAATTAGTAGATTTGCATCTTATAGTCTGATAATTTTCATTATTCCTAAGATTGTAGTTGCTGTTATCAGAAACATTCCCTGGAGCAAGATCACAAAGATAGTCAGGAACCATATGGTTTACCATTTTGTAAAACAATGTTGATTTAGAAGTTTCTCTCCGTTTCGATAAGGAAGTCAAGTTTGTCTCATGATATAGTTTCGCATGGCTCGTACCTCTAACTGCACCGCATATTGTGCGTAAGGCATCTAAGTGAAGGTTTTCTACTGACAAGGACTGTTCGTTTGTACAATTGTCCCAGAGATGACAGCAATAGTCAAATAGAGGTAAGATAAAGGATTTATACATTGTTTCGAGAGTTTTGCGTGATAGTCTATATCTAAAACTACGAAGGCAATTAATCGTAGGGCTAATTTCCTTATCATTTCATTAATGTGGGAATGCCAAAGGAGGTTTGCCTGAAAAATAATTCCTAAGCGTTTATGAATATGCACTTTATTTATAGCGGTACCATTTATCGAGAGGGGAGGTTTCGTAGAAAGTTTCGTTTTGTGTGAAAACTGGATAGTTTCAGTATTGTTTGGATTAAATTTTACTTGCCAGGTTTCCGCCCATTTAGAAATTCTGTCTAAATCTGAGTTCAGAATAAATGCACTCGTATGGGGATCGTCGATTATTAAATAGAGTGATGTGTCGTCTGCGAAAAGGCGTATATTACTTTCGATTCCATCAACTATGTCGTTTATGTATATTAAGAATAAAAGAGGTCCAAGGACTTATCCTTGGGGCACTCCGGCTATTATCGGTTTTAATTCTGATTTGTAACCTTGGATAACTACTCTTTGCATTCTATTTTGCAAATAACTTCCAAAACATTTCAATAACTTCCCATCTATCCAACATGATTTTAGCTTATGGATAATCCCTTTGTGCCAAACTTTATCAAATGCCTTGCTTATATCGCAGAATACAGCTCTTCCTTCTTTTCCGTTGTCTATAGCTTTAGCAATAAAATTATACAAATGCGTGAGTTGGTAAGCTGTTGAATCTCCTGGCATGAATCCAGATTGTAAATTTGAGAGGCAATTGTTATCTCTCATGAAGTTAAAGACATATTTAAATATACATTTTTCAAAGACCTTGGATAAACAAGATGTTAAGGCAATGGGTCTATAGTTCGAACAGTCGTTAATATTACCTTTCTTGTGGATTGGTATGACTGATGATTCTTTCCATATGTCTGGGAAAACTGATGTTTGAAGTGACATGTTAAAGAGGTTAGTTAATGCTAGTGACAAGGAGGGGGATACCAAACGTAGGAAGCGGTTACCAATACCATCTGGTCCACTCGCTTTGGTAGTGTTTGACGATGATAGAACATCTTCAACATCCTGCTTTGTAAGATATAAATTCCTCATATATTTACTATTATTCCTTGTAGGAGGCCCACACAGCTGACAACGTTGTAACCCTCTACTCACACCTGGTATGAGACCCACACAGATGACAACGTTGTAACCCTCTACCCACACCTTGTAGGATGCCCACACAGCTGACAACGTTGTAACCCTCTACCCTCACCTTGTAGGAGGCCCACACAGCTGACAACGTTGTAACCCTCTACCCACACCTTGTAGGAGGCCCACACAGCTGACAACGTTGTAACCCTCTACCCACACCTTGTAGGAGGCCCACACAGCTGACAACGTTGTAACCCTCTACCCACACCTTGTAGGAGGCCCACACAGCTGACAACGTTGTAACCCTCTACCCACACCTTGTAGGAGGCCCACACAGCTGACAACTGTGTTACCCTCTACCCACACCTTGTAGGAGGCCCACACAACTCACAATGTTGTAACCCTCTACCCACACCTTGTAGGAGGCCCACACAGCTGACAACTGTGTTACCCACTACCCACACCTTGTAGGATGCCCACACACCTGACAATGTTGTAACCCTCTACCCACACCTTGTCGAAACCTAACACACAGCTGACAATGTTGTAACCCTCTACTGACACCTGGTATGAGACCCACACCGCTAACAACGTTGTAACCCTCTACCCTCACCTTGTAGGAGGCCCACACAGTTGACACCGTTGTAACCCTCTACCCACACCTTGTAGGAGGCCCACACAGCTGACAACTGTGTTACCCTCTACCCACACTTTGTAGGAGGCCCACACAACTGAAAACTGTGTAACCCTCTACACACACCTTGTAGGAGGCCCACACAGCTGACAATGTTGTAACCCTCTACCCACACCTTGTAGAATTCCCCTACACAGCTGACAATGTTGTAACACTCTACCCACACCTTGTAGGAGGCCCACACACAGCTGACAACTGTGTTACCCTCTACCCAAACCTTGTTGAAACCCCACACACAGCTGACAATGTTGTAACCCTCTACCCACACCTTGTAGAAAACCAACACACAGCTGACAACGTTGTAACCCTCTACCTACACCTTGTAGGAGGCCCACACAGCTGACAATGTTGTAACCCTCTACCCACACCTTGTAGGAGGCCCACACAGCTGACAACGTTGTTACCCTCTACCCACACCTTGTTTGAGGCCCACACAGCTGACAACTGTGTTACCCTCTACCCACACCTTGTAGGAGGCCCACACAGCTGACAACTGTGTTACCCTCTATCCACAGCTTGTAGAAATCTCCAACACAGCTGACAACGTTGTAGCACTCTACCCACACCTTGTAGGAGGCCCAAACAGCTGACAACGTTGTAACCCTCTACCTACACCTTGTAGGAGGCCCACACAGCTGACAACGTTGTAATCCTCTACCTACACCTTGTAGGAGGCCCACACAGATGACAACTGTGTTACGCGCTACCCACACCTTGCAGAAACGTTGCGGGTTGGGTTAAGAGAAGGTTTGGAGGTGAAGTTAGAAAATAATGATATGCTCTTCCCAAACTTAAAGATATGATGGAGATATTGACTACCACACAATTTATAGTATTGCGATGCGATTAGGTATTAATTTCATTTTAATATTTTAATATTATTATTAATTTATAAAAACATTATTAACTGATCGGTCCTTAAGACGATTATACAAATTACTAAATACAAGTAGGTGGAGATCAAAGCAATTCCATATGCGTTGAGTTCATATTCTTTTCTAAAAATTCAAATAGAACAACCTTTCATGACGGATCATGTTAAATTAATGTGCGTGCTCAACTCAAGCAGTAACTTGAGATGTTACCTTTCGAATTATCAGCATTTATCGGTTATTACAAAGTGCTGACGTGTGTGAAATGGAATCAGGGTGCGAGTACCATCTGAAAGCAACATGCACTCAGCCAATTAGACCGGGAAAACCTTTCAATACTAACGAATTGCTGTCGTCTTCAGTGAGACTATCCGACATTCATTTGGTGCAGCCAAGTGGGACATGAATACGTTGTCATGGTCACCATTTAAAAACGCACGCTCAAGGGCGTCCTTGAAATACTAACATCATGACTCATCTGGTCCTGCCGGTAAAGGTGTCGATACTTCGACAGATCATGTCAAAACACATGAAGGCCTACCGGCATTTGATATCAGTTGATATAATAAAGGGTTTGCTTTGCAGATCTCGCTTTAACAAACGTTTAGTGTAGGTATTAGTTCTTGTGCATTGGTTCTATGCAGATACGTCCAACGTATGCGTGTGTGCAGGGCTGCGTTATTAAACGTTGATGAGTACAAAAGCATATACACACAGGTAGATATACCTTCTTATATATGTTTACATGTCTAAATTGACACTATATTCAACTATTAATTGATGATTCAAATGTGTATATGACAAACAGCGATCTGTTGAAGTATTACTATTGACCAGCAGATGGAAGCACGACCGATGATCAATGCAGGTAGAGTCTCACGTTTCAGGTGATTGAATCTGAGATCATGAAACATGCAGTCAAGTTACCGTTGCAGTTAATACATGTGATATGTGTGAAGTATCATCAAGAAAATACTTACCATATACAAGTGCAATAAACACAGCTACTAGCATGTTCCACTTCATGTTGGTTGTAGAAAAATTGCAATGCTCGTCCTACTTGAAGGTTGAAACGCGTGAATGCACAATAACGCTCCCACCTGAACTCTAAACTTGGCCTAAATTTAGTCAGTAAACAGGTTCAGAACGAGGCGCTAAACAGGGTGGAGTTTCGTCCAATCAAATCAATCGTGGTTGATGATATGAATTAACAGGTAGTGAGAAAATGAGATCATCGGAATGCTGAGCGTTGTCTGTATGGATGTGGTTGTTGTGGGTGGCAAATGCACCCGAGACACTGACGCCGCCAACCCACACTACCTGATTCATTACATTTTGCCTTACCATAAGCATAGTTAGCGGTACGGGGTTGTCTCCCAAACCCCTACATCCCATAACCCTACAGCCCAGTTCCCCTACAATAAGTTAAAACAACATGCGGCATTTACCTGTCTGGCATAATGAACTGAGAGCTTACTGGGTGGAGTATACGAGGGCGTTCAAAAAGTAGTCAGCCTAACTATATTCGCAATGTCCGTTTGAAAAGCTTCCATTTTATTTCGAAGAAATAATTAGCAAAACAATATCCAAAATTGTACATATCACAACACAATGGGGTTTAGTATTTCTTTAAAAATTTGCAAAAAAGGAAAAACGATCTATTATTTGATACCTCTTGGATAATGGTATGCCCTCAGATGATATCGTGATTCATATAAAATATGTTCAGTATAGTATTGGATGACTACCCGTCATAATCAACATTCAAAGATTTGGATTGTTTGATTTACACCACCTTTTTAATCTTTCAAAAACTGTGTGCAGATATTTAAGCTGGCACTGGTTATAATATATTGAGAATGAAACATGAGAATAAGTTATGTCCTTATGATCACGTCATCTGAAAGGGGTTGGGTAGTGTCTCCAAAACAAGCTCTTTCAGTAAACATAAATGGGGGAATTACTTTAACAAGTGAATGTAAATTTTTTTATGCACTTCAGTATCTAAGTTTGATTCTAGCGGACTTCTACCTATCTCAAACACACAAAATGTTCCTTGCATATTTTGTTTCCTGAAGGTTGTGAACTTGTGATGCATTTATTGCAGATTTTGCGTTTTGGGGGGTACCAAGATAAAAAGTCAAAGAAAATGGGGATCGTGAGGCTGGAACATAGCAAAACCAATTTGCTTGCGGTTGACAGATAATATGTAGAAAAATAAAACATAAAAAAACATTTAATATGTTATGACATGATATTTAATGAAGTTAATTAAACCTCAATATTATTGAACTTTTGTTAAAATAATTTTGTTATCATCCATTAAAACTATTCTCTCAAACTCTTAATTTGGTTATTGCTCATTAAATTCATTCTCTCAATTGCTAAGTGTTTGGGCTGGTCCATTGTATGAAATAGGTAACAGGCAGGAGATTAGCAGTGCACTGGACCATGAACTTTGTTGTTATAAGCTGTAGGGCTTATGGGATGTAGGGGTTCTGGGAGGTTACCGGGTATTCAAGATCAGGAGACCCGTAAAGGGACGGGTTAGAATATTGGCCTTCAGTAACCCATGCTTGTCATAAGCGGCGACTAACGGGATCGGGTGGTCAGGCTCGCTGACTTGCAATCGGTTCCCAATTGCGCAGATCGATGCTCATGTTGTGGATCACTCGATTGCCTGGTCCAGACTCGATTATTTACAGACCGCCGCCATATAGCTGGAATATTGCGTTAAACTAAACTCACTCACTCACTCAAGATCACCATTAGTGAGTTGGGTTTTACGCCGCTTTAAGCGATATTCCAGCAACATCACGTCAGGAGACACCAGAAATGGTGGGGAAGCCTTATAGCCTTGTGGGGAATCGAACCCGCCGGGTCTTCGGCATGTCGATCCACGGGAAATAATCAGAATGAGCTTACCCACCATCGAGTCGCAAATGTTACCTTAATTGGGTAACTTTATAGGATGACATCCATGGTTGGTTAATTTGGTTGTGACAAACAGTCTGTAATAGTCAGTTTATATCATGATAATCAAGTAATCGAATCCTGGTATGACAAACGAATGGTCGATGTAATGATCAACAATTCCTTGAGTTGGTTAATTAGGATACACAACAAGCATTGATACAGTTGTTTTATTGAGATGGTGTGTATTTTTAACATATTGCACCATATTTGTGGGTCATATTGTTGGTGTAACTTTACTTTCAGGGTACCCGATGTACCCTGAACCTACCCGACCCGACCCGACCCGACCGACCCGACCCGACCCGACCCGACCCGACCCGACCCGATCCGATCCGATCCGATCCGATCCGACCCGACCCGACCCGACCCGACCCGACCCGACCCGACCCGACCCGACCCAACCCCACCTGACCCGACCCGACCCAACCCGACCCGACATATTAAGAGTGAATATCACGTTTACCGCTATTTCAAACGAACGCGCGGAAGTATGATTTCATGGAAGCAGTGAAGGAATGTGTTGGGTTGAAGGCCGCTTATAATAATATGAGCGTTACGTGACACTACTCTTTCCAAAAAGTAGGGGAACGTGAACTTTCAATTTGGATAGGGAATATAAGTGTAACAAACTTCTCAAAGACAGACATCTTATGAAAAGCACCACCATTTCTCCTTATCACCACCCTAGACTTATGCTTAGTCTCTGAATATATATAATTTTGATAGTAACAAACAAGCCCATTTAAATTGAAAAAGAGCCCCAGGGAGACAAGAGATTCAAATCAATCAGATTGAACCTGTGCACAAATAGGTCCCTGCCATATGTTGACACAGAGTTTTATTGTTGAGCGATTAGATAAAGTGAGATACTCAATATACAACAGAGTTTCACAAAATAATCCTATACCAGGAATAAAAAAATAATCCTTTTTTAATTACACATTAACAATTCGGCTGCTATGTGTGGACCCAAGTCAGGCAATGAAACAATACTTATTACATCATAACATTCAAGAGGAACCTTTCCCCAAGATTTTGCTTGATTTGTCTCTTCAAGACCAGAAAGGCCTCTACCATAGCTTCATGTCACCCAATGTGCTTGTTAATTAAGAGTTGACACATGAAAATGTGAGGCAAGAATCCAGACCACTGGTGAGGATGTTGGTCCAGCCAGCAATGGTAGTTAGATATGTTTACTTTGTAACCCGACCCCCAAAGTGAGTTAGTTTTCTTGCAGATGTTAACAGACCCTGAACCTGAGGAAATCTAGACTTGCTTTATTTAGGGCTTCAGCATTGCATGGAGGGCTTGGCAGTGGGGAAAATAATGTGGTTCAGGGACTGTGAGACAGACTATCGCCACCCCTAAACACAACGTATAGGATGTACGTGCACAACGCAGGAGCCCCACATATGTGAGTGAGTGAGTGAGTTAAGATTTAAAGTCACACCCACATATGTGCATGGGGTGTCATTCTTGATTTTGACGGTTTTCAAGAAGGTTGATAAATCACTGTAGACCATTAATTTTGACAATCTTCTTGCATCACACAGTTTTGGTGTTTGTTTCTAGCTTGGTTTTTTTAATCGTAAACATGCACATTTCACGTCATACACCAATTATCTTTCAAGAGCGATTACTGTACAAACAACGATGGTCATAAGGAAGTCCAAGTGGTGATGCACTTTCAAAACATTCATTATTATCATATCAACGTTGATTGACTCCGATATATCTCCCAGTGTTTTCAATCGTAAATTATAAAGTTCCCCTACTTTTTTTCAAGAGTATACTTCAGCTCAGTGTGGGAGGAGAGCAAGAAGTGATGTTGGGATGCAGTGATGTTGGGATGCAGTGATGTTGGGATGCAGTGATGTGATGCAGTGATGCAGTGTTCTTGGAATGCAGTGATGTTGGGATGCAGTGATGTTGGGATGCAGTGTTGTTGTCATGCAGTGATGTGATGCAGTGATGCAGTGTTCTTGGAATGCAGTGATGTTGGGATGCAGTGATGTTGGGATGCAGTGACGTTGTCATGCAGTGATGTGATGCAGTGATGCAGTGTTCTTGGAATGCAGTGATGTTGGGATGCAGTGATGTTGGGATGCAGTGTTGTTGGAATGCAGTGATGTTGGAATGCAGTGATGTTGGAATGCAGTGATGGTTGAATGCAGTGATGTTGGGATGTAATGATGTTGGAATGCAGTGATGTTGGAATGCAGTGATGGTTGAATGCAGCGATGTTGGGATGCAGTGTTGTTGGAATGCAGTGATTTTGGGATGAAATGATGTTGGAATGCAGTGATGTTGGGATGCAGTGATGTTGGAATGCAGTGATGTTGGGATGCAGTGATGTTGGGATGCAGTGTTGTTGGAATGCAGTGATGTTGGGATGCAGTGTTGTTGGAATGCAGTGATGTTGGGATGCAGTGATGTTGGAATGCAGTGTTGTTGGAATGCAGTGATGTTGGGATGCAGTGATGTTGGAATGCAGTGATGTTGGGATGCAGTGATGTTGGGATGCAGTGATGTTGGAATGCAGTGATGTTGGGATGCAGTGATGTTGGAATGCAGTGATGTTGGAATGCAGTGATCGTGGGATGCAGTGATGTTGGGATGCAGTGATGTTGGAATGCAGTGATTTGGGATGCGGTGATGTTGGGATGTTGGAATGCAGTGATGTTGGGATGCAGTGATTTGGGGATGAAATGATGTTGGAATGCAGTGATGTTGGGATGCAGTGATGTTGGAATGCAGTGATGTTGGAATGCAGTGATGTTGGAATGCAGTGATGTTGGAATGCAGTGATGTTGGGATGCAGTGATGTTGGGATGCAGTGATGTTGGAATGCAGTGATGTTGGAATGCAGTGATGTTGGGATGCGGTGATGTTGGGATGCAGTGATGTTGGGATGCAGTGATGTTGGAATGCAGTGATGTTGGAATGCAGTGATCGTGGGATGCGGTGATGTTGGAATGCAGTGATTGTGGGATGCAGTGATGTTGGGATGCAGTGATGTTGGAATGCAGTCATGTTGTTATGTTGTCATGCAGTGATGTTGTCATGCAGTGATGTTGGGATGCAGTGATGTTGGAATGCAGTGGTCGTTGGATGCAGTGATGCAGTGTTGTTGGAAAGCAGTCATGTTGTTATGTTGTCATGCAGTGATGTTTGGATGCAGTGATGTGATGCAGTGATGCAGTGATATTGTGATCGTGAGACCGATTGTAATTCTCGGTTTGTCAGCACCTTACCGGGGTGGGGTGTTCATCAGAGTATTCTTGGCCAGGTTGTGTGCTGTCCTATAAGGGCAAGTACTATCCCCAGTAAGTTTGGCTTGCGTACCGGAGGAGTGCCGACTGTCCTACGGAATTAAAAGATGGTTTTCTCCTTGGTCTGTAGCCCAGTAGTAATCCGGTTTCGGGGTGTCATTCCTAACTGGGTGATGCACATTTGGTTAACGAAATGTATAAATTCCCCTATCTAAGCCCACCCAGGAGAGGCGTATAATCAGGCCCATGCATTATTCTATAGTATTTCTATTATGATTGTTGTTATTTCAACATCACTGGCAGACATGGAAATTCGCAAGTGCGTCGTCACATATGTAAGATTGCAACACCAGACAGAGCATTACTCAACCCAATACACAGTGCAATCTCCACTGCTTTCATGTACGATAAGGCCACAGTCACCTCCGCGTGTGGACCCTTATCAAGAAACGTTTGAAGTAGCACACAAAGCCCTAGCGCAATAAAGTAGCTCAAGGTCAAGATAAAAATAGTGGTTGTTACATGCGGACCCAAGATCCACTTGAGATGTGTAAGCTACTGCAAAAATTTCTTATTTTTCAATTGCTCTGATTAAACGCATCGACATCTTTTACGATCGTATATACTTACCCCAAAAAGTAGCCATGCACCAGGTATAGTGATGAACATGTTATGTTGTTTAACGCCGCACTCAGCAATATGCCAGTTGTATGATGACGGTCTGTAAATAATCGAGGCTGGACCAAACAAGCCAGTGATCAACATGAGTATCGATCTACGCAATTGAGATGACATTTGTCAACCAAGTCATCGAGCCTGACCACCCGATCCTCCCAGACGCCTCTTACATCAGCATGGGTTGCTGGAGACACATCTGGCATACCACATCTGTTGACAAACCCATACCTAGTACAGGAGAGAAAGATACACACACTATGAGAGGGGTAACATCCTTGTGAACAATGTCATTATCGGATGTGACAACATTCCGTTGATTCAGGAGAGACAGCGACGGTCCGCTGAAGACACGGGTTGATTGAAAACAGAGTATGGATCCTTTTTAAATGCATGCCAACCAACTTCCAAATTAGCCACATAAACCATAATATTTTCTTCTACCCAGTGTGCGAAATAGCCACTTGCCCGCTAGCCCGTGGCTAGCAAAAATCCAGTCTGGCTAGTAAAATCTTCACAGTCACTGGCACAACTGGCTAATGAATTTTCATGGGGTCATTTTGTAAATATATCACTCTCTCCGACTTATTAAGTTATAATACACTTTTAAATCATGCAAAATTAAAAATTATATGTTCAGCATATTAGCAGTCTAGTGATGAAACCCGAGTCTACATTCACATTTCACTATTGAATTGTTTTGTGGGTTAGTAACTTTCAGGCACAGCTATCCCGACTGGCTAGCAAAATTCGGAAACTATTTCGCACACTGATGCATGCATGTAACAATATATACTACAGACACTGAAATTACATTACACATGTAGTTTATTCAAATTCATATATTTAATTGACAAGACTCATCTGTTATAGGTAACACTGGTATTACTTATGTATACAGATCGACAACAGGAAGTGCGTTGGAGAGAGCATCAAGAGCTTGAGTGTCGCCAAGTGTTTCCTTAAATGAATCGGAAAGGTCTCTAATATTCCCGAGAAACAAAAGGGAAGGATGATTTCATAAATGTCTATACATGTGACTTGTGGTGTAGTCATCAGTCAGAGTGACTCACCAGCACGTCATAGAGTAAACAAACGGTGGTCGACTATCCTATATCCCGTTATTGACACCGTACAGGTGTGTAGAGATATCCCGTACAGATACCCTTTGTTCGCCTACCTCCTCAGTACATTACATTACATACTAACATTTGTATAGCGCCGATATCCAGCTCAGCTCAGCTGCTCAAAGGCGCTTAGTTTTTCCCTCGTTCACTGGATGTCAATCTCAACGGCACATCGTATTGTCAATCTCAACTCCCTGGGGAGCATACAACTCTTGCAGCCACTAGGCGCACCGAGTTATTGTGTCATTCCCATCCTTACGAGGTACCCATTCACAGCTGGGTGGACTGGGACCCATAGTCACAGTACTTTGTCCAAGTTCACTGCACGTTGCTGTACCCGCAACTAGGTGTTTGCACGTATTCATGTGGCCACCATCTGGTCATATACCAACGGATTCGTGGGTTCTTTTAAGTGCACAGGGTAGTGTACTGTACACTAGGGGTTGTGACAACACTAAAAGAGTCTGCACACAAAGTGGACTCCAAGGTTTTTACACCCGGTCACAGGTGGGCTCGATCCCGTCACCTCAAGCTCGCTGGATCACTAGCCTGGCGAGTACGCCCTAATGTCAAAACACTCTACCAGTGTGATTGCGTTCTTTCTACAACTCTATATAGTCTGTACAAAGACACTTCAATAATAAGAGTTGCGTCCCTTGGGCGTACAGAAACGTATGATTGCGGGGTTTTAATCTGAGAATCTAGTACCTGAAATTTACGTCTACAGCAGCTCTTGGTTGAAGACTATACACATGAGCATTACAATTAAGGATCATGCATATTTACGAAATTAGTGTAATTGAAATATGACTTGTACGATTCATTGTTGGACATACAACTAAAGAGTCGGACGAGGCGACAAACGGAGTGTTCAAGTTCACTGACAGGATTGATTTGATGAATATAGAGAATTTTCTGGATTTCTTCTTCTTTTTATTCTTTGATACAAAAATTCGGGGCCTGTTCCGACCCCATCATCAGGTGCTTGTGACGTCACAATGCTATAACGACGCAATACATGTGGAGGTCGTTATGTATTGCGTCGTCATAGCATTGTGACGTCATAAGCATTGTGACTTCATGGGCACAGTAACAGTTACTGTTCATTTTACCTGATGATGGGGCCGGAACCTGCCCCGAAACGTTGCATCAAAGAATAAAAAGAAGATGAAATCCAGAAAGTTCTTTACGTTCATCAAATAGCATCTTCTTAAATGCCGGAGCACGTTACCAATACCGTACCATTGTTTCAGCTACTTTAGGTTGTTGTATACAGGCGTCTAACCCTAGCCCTAACCCATTGTTTCAGCTACTTCCGGTTGTTGTATACAGACGTCTTACCCTAACCCATTGTTTCAGCTGCTTCCGGTTGTTGTATACAGGCGTCTAACCCTAACCCTAACCCTGCCAACCCTTACCCTAACCTTAGCTTCCTCCCGATCATGCGCAGAAAATACGTTTAGTGGTACCGGTAAAAATAAATCTATCCAAAATGCCAATCAAGCGTCTCGACAACACCGAAAATTTGCTGGAAATGTGGGTGAGAATAAAGACCGGTCCTATTTCTCGACAACAGTTTGACAACTCTGAAATTGGTTTTTGTGGCGAGTTGTTGGAGTGTTCACACTCTCAAACTCGAGTTTGAAAACATGTGTTGTTAAACTTTAGTTTGCCGTGTGAAGGCGGTTGATTTGGTCGACACATGTCATCGTATCTCAGTTGCGCAGACCTCATGATGTCAATAGCTGGATCGTCTGGACTAGACGCGATTATTTCCAGAACACCGTCATAAAGATGGAACATAACGTTGGGTACATTCATTTGGATTTCTCTGAAGAGTATCTGTTCCTAATCTACACCACGCATGGAAATGTTATGTGATGGATACTAAACAATATGTCGCACCCTGAAAATCATCACTGACGGCAATTATATTCTGGAGTATTCACCCATTTAACGGATGACGTTCGCGAGGCATCTTCAAATGCTGCTGTTTGTCCACACTATCGTCCACTGCCATATTACAATGTCAGACACAGTTTATTCCCGTTTTGAACTGGAGAGCCCCCAGTCAATGGACAAGGTGAGTGAGTGAGTGAGTTTGGTTTTACGCCGCTTTTTGCAATATTCCAGCAATATCACGGCGGGGGACACCACAAATGGGCTTCACACATTGTGCCCATGTGGGGAATCGAACCCGGGTTTTCGGCGTGACGAGAGAACGCTTTAACCACTAGGCTACCCCACCGCCCCCAATGGACAAGGAAAAAGCAAGGCGTTGGGTGGGTTCAGATCGGAGATTTGTCATTATTTTCTGGGACTATATTAAGAATCTGGTGGTGCTTAATTAACGTTCATGTCGTGGTGCTTAATTAAGGCTCATGTGAACAATTAACTACTCATTGAGAAGATATGAGTGAGGGAGTGAGTTTAGTTTTACGCCGCATGGCGGCAGGCTGTAAATATTTGAGTCTGAACCATACAATCCAGTGATCAACAGCATGAACATCGATCTAAGCAATTGGGATACCATGACATGTGTCAACCAAGTCAGTGAGCCTGACCACCCGATCCCGTTGGTCGCCTCTTACGACAAGCATGGGTTTATACTGAAGATCAGTTCTAACCCGGAAGATATATGACATACTATTAAAACACATTGACATATAAAACAAAACAATGTAAAACACATATGTGTGTATGATTTAATAGCTAATCTTCTTACAATATGGCAAGCAATCCATTGAAGTGTGACCTGCAATAAGCTTACAGAAATGATTGAGTTAAAATTATACCTCACATCGGCAGTATTGCAGCCAGTTCTCGATGAAAACATGGTAATCATTTTAACACACCTGTCAACAAAGGACAGTAAAATGGTTGGAAGAATATCATATGTAACAAAAGAAATTATATTCAAAACACATGTTGATATCTATGGAATCCTAGAAGGGACAGTTTCGCGTAGTCGCATTGCCGCGTTGTCGCCCTCGCAAAAACTAGCAAAAAGAGGCAAAATTAACCAAAGGTACCAAGACGCGACATTTCGGCCATTTGTCCCATTGTCGCTATGTGGCATTGTCGTGCTTTGAATAATGACTTTTTTAATCATCCAAAGGGCGATAAAGCGACATACCGACAATTTTCAAAGTCAAAATATGTGGCGTTGTCGCATCGTCGCCCCATCAAAAATGTGTAAAAAAATCTTAAAATGCGCGACAACGCGACAATGTCCCTTCTAGGATTCCATAGATATCAGCTATGAATAGGTTACAAGTATCCAAGGCTAGATTACCCACATCCCGATATTATACCGGCACTGTGCGTCGCTAGTCTAATTTTAACCCACGTGGGTAGTGCTTCATTGCAGTAAACTTGTCGGTTACCAAATCAAGACGAAATTTGTCAACTAAATAATATAGACAATATTTAACTTCAAAACATTTAATCTTGCAGATCTGAAATGTGCAAAGGTATTTGATATGTCTTTACTTATTATATGTTATTTGTCTTTGCTTATTATTTGATCACACTGGTACATTTCAAGAATGAATAAATCTTGTTTCAATTACGTTTTTTAATCGTTTTGTTTAAAAAGACAGTATTTGTCAACAACATCTCTTCATTTCATCTGGCAATGACGTCATAAAGGGAGATTTCCAAAAGCGTCAGGGAAGGAAGGGTTAAACATCGTGGTTTTGACCGTTCAAAACATTAGTGTCATCGCACTGTCGCTGTGCTGCTTTAATAAGGCTTGACAATCTACGTCTAGATTGAACATTGTCCTGCACGGTCGGCATTAAGGGGGATTGCGGGCTTACATTTTCTCTTTCTCCCCAGGCGGATCATATAGAATCCTTTTGGATACTAAAGGTTGAGTACAATGCCAGCAAGTATCAAACTTTTAATAACAATCAATACATTACACAAACTGGTTGATACTAAATCCATTATCTGACAGCGCAGGGTATTAATCAAAGAGTGCTTAGAATAAAGTACAAGAAAATATGAGTCACTTTCATTCGTTCGTTGTCAGGAAGCTCAGAGACGTGTCTACATCACAATGGGGTCTGGTTCACATCTATGCCTCCGTTACACTGATTGAGGATGATGTACAACATCAAGGCTGGAGACACTGAACTGTGTAGAATCGAACAGGGTACTTAGCATACCAAGTGAACACTTTAACCACAAGGCCATCACATCAGGTTCACATGGGCCTCTGTTACACTGATTAAGCATGACGCACAATATCTCTGCTGGAGACACTGAACTGTGTAGAATCGAACAGGGTACTTAGCATACCAAGTGAACACTTTAACCATATGGCCATCACATCCTGGTTTACACCGAATTCGTCCTTATTCTGGCCCTTTGAATGGGCCTACGCAGCAGCAGCCGTAGTCGATTAAAGAACGCGGTCCTGGCATAATCTTCCTCGCCCCACTGTAAGTAAGTTGTCGTCTGCAACATTGCTGTCATAGCTTTGGTCATGTGACTCGTGTGGATGTCTTCTAACATGACCACCACGAGCAGACGGTTTCCATTCTCCAGTACATATCTCTGAATAAGTGCCAATTCAAACTGGCACCAATCACTTTGAGCAAAACTATTTGACAGAAGGATCACCAAGCAGCGACTATTTTCGATACAATCAACAATATTGTCAACAATGAGTTTGCCTATCTCGAAATCACGGTCATGGATGCATAAGTTCAGTTTTCCTTCACCTTCAAGAATGGGCATCAGTGTCTTGATGACCCAGGGCCGGTCGGCAACGCTGTAGGCGATAAATGCGTCATATTCATAGTGCCCAGTATCCGTTTCATGGCGGTTTCTGTATCTGATCATGTACACAAGATACTGTATGTACCACCGTAGACGATACAGAACCGAGCCGACTACAAGCAACACCAGCAACAACGTTGAACATGTCAACGTGATTATTTTCGAGTTGAGACCAAGCAAACATATGTTTTCAGACAATGGTATATCCTCGAGGACAACACCATGAACAGAAGCAGGTGACATACATGTATAGTTAATTGAAAATTCCGGTAAATGGAAGACGCGTGGCCGTTCCTTCATCCAGTCAATAAACCACTTTAATTCACATGTACATTGAAACGAATTATAGAATAACTCAATATGCTTGGCTCTTCTTCTGAATCCTGGAGGGAAAGACGATTCAGAGACGACTGATATGACATTTTCCCTCATGTAGATTGTATCCAGATAAACCAGACTGTTAAGAGTTCCATCTGGCCAGGAGCCGATCCTGTTGTTATAGAGTACAAGCACCCTGAGATTATGAAGGTATTTGGTCACAGCCTTGGGGATTCTGGTCAATCGACAACCTCCCATAATCAAATACGTCAAATTTCTAATTGGCTTGAATAACTGATCAAACTGTTCTTCGGGTGTTTTATCTAAAATGTTGTCAGCCAAATTCAACAGATCCAAAGATGTACAGCCTTCGAAAATGTTCAGACTGATTTCAGGCCGTTCTGTGTATAACGCATTTTTCCGGAAAAATGCTTTCTTTAGACTGGTATTGTTGAACGGGGCCTTTTCGATCTTTAGGAGGGCAAATATCTCCGAGAGCTTTATATTTTCAAGTGAGTGTAGACCGGCAAACATGTTGGATTTCAAAGTCTTAAACAAATTCCCATTGAGATATAATATTTGCAGTGTGTTTAAACAGCTGTAGTGTTCTGAAATTATCGTTCTCATAAAGTTGAACTGCAAATTGAGTCTTTCTAATTTAGGAAAAAGGGAATGGCTATCGTTCTTACAGAAATTTGGAAAAGCATCAAAATAATTATTATCAAGTCTTAATTTTTTCATATTACTGGTTAGATTTTCCCACATAGAAACATTTGACAACTTGTTCCAAGCAAGATTAAGAAACTGTAAACCAGGAACATTCTCAATCTGTTCAGGGCTGATTAATTTGAGGCTATTAAAGGCAAGTGAAATAGTGACCGAAGATAGGTTCCCGAATGATGCAAACATATTTTCTGGGATGGACTCGATGTTCATATGGCTCATATTCAGGTTCTGAAAGTTTTTGTTTTTCAGAGATCTAAATGAGGTCCTTAGTTGTTGAAGATTGATGCTGTTGTAACTTACATCTAACCCTTGCAGATAAGGTAGGGCTGAGAATGCATCACTGGATATGTTCACAATACCATTTCTTCGTAGTCGCAGAAACACAACCTTCAGCCTGGATATGTTACGAAATGTGGCACTATTTACAACTGTTAGAGAATTGTTTTTGAAGAATATGTAAGTCGGCGAGGTTTTATCTAGTTTTGGTGCTTTTGGAATGTAAGTTAGACTTTGGTTAGAACAGTCCATGTATTGTATGGTTCGGTTATGGGTCGAGCGTCCGCACCGACAAACATTGTTCCCACAGGGTCTGTGATTTGATGGAAGAGACGCCCAGACGAGACTGACAGCACACAGGATGATGAAGACACGTGTGTGTAGTTTCATTGTTACTGACTGGCCTGAAACTGACAGACATTACAAATATTATTCATGCTAAATAGCACTGTTTGTTCCGATATCAATTAATCTCAGCACAGACCCATGAACTTCCGGGTTAGACGTGGTGTTCAGCAGTCCATGCTTGCCGTAAGAGGCGACTTAGTGGACACACATGAGTCATCATATCCAAAATACGTAGATCGATGCTCATACTGTCGATCACTGGATTGTGTGGTCCAGATTTGATTATTTACAGACTGCCGCCATATGGCTGGAATATTGTTGGGTGCGGCGTTAAGCAACAAAGTAACAACAAACAAAAACAAACATATTACAGAAAATTAGAGAATTCTTCCGAACATCCTTTTTGTCATTAGTAAGTAATATTTTGAAATGTCCTTCACGTGTCTAACTGAAATATTGTAACCTTGATCGAAAACCGTTGAACAAAGGTAGTTTGACATTCTTTAAAATAATCGCAAAAGGCTGGACTTATCACACGAAGGCTGGACTTATCACACGAAGGCTGGACTTATCACACGAAGGCTGGACTTATCGCACATATGCTGGACTGATCGCAAAAGGCTGGACTTATCACACGAAGGCTGGACTTATCACACCTAGGCTGGACTTATCGCAAAAAACTTTTTGCGAGAAGTCCAGCATATGTGCGATAAGTTCTTTAAGTCCAGCTTTTGTGTGATAAGTCCAGCGCTAGCCTTTGTGCAAAAAGTCCAGCTTTTGTGCGATAAATCCCGCCTTTGAGGTATAAGTCCAAAGGCTGGACTTACCGCACAAAGGCTGAACTTGCCGCAGAAAGGCTGGAACTTATCCCCCCTGAACGTTGACTCCTTGTTGATGTATCTGGGTTTGAGGAGAATAGGTATCCGACATACACATGAATGTATTTCATTTTTCTAAGGTAAGTGTCAGTAATTATTTTGAACTATGCAAATACGGTCAGCACAGATGTATAGATTGATTGATACGAATGTGTACATGAATATGTCATTCGAAATATGGGTTAGGTTAGTGGTTAAAGCGTAATGTCGAAGGCGATGTTCGATCTCCCAATTATGGCACGATGGACTTCGTCAAAGATTAATATAATTTGTGATTACCAGCATCGCACTCAAGGAACGTGTATAGTGAGAATGAAACAAGCATTCCCAATAATTATTAAGTATTTAAGAATTATTAGTTATTTAGAAAAGTAGTTCAAACATCCTGTTTCGTGGAGTGGTTCACGGGCCTGTTTGTTTAGAATACGAATTTCATCATGTGTTTTTTTGGCTGTTAGGCAACGTAAGTAGTAGTCTGCAATATTTTGGCTAGCTGGTGGCGATCTGTAAACAAGTGCGTGCACCTGGACCTGACATTCCAGTGATTGACATCATGAGCATCGATTTACACTTCAGCGATTCTGCCGAAGACAAATTCTACACCGGTCATCGCGGGTCCAGTGAACATGTTCTGAGATTGGTTTAGACAGGTTATCCAAATACTGTCCAAACATGTGCCCATATATCTATTCGTGTGTTTGCCTTACTTACATAAATTATATCTGTTCCCCTGTGTGCTCATATAGCTTCTCGTATGTTTACATACCACTTCTCTTGTGTAATCTAGTAGCCATTTCGTGCAAGCCAAGGCTGCGTTCAAATATTCTTACTGGTCACACTACTTACCAGCAGGTCCCTAAATCCTAGCTAGGGCACAAACGGATTGTAAGTCGTATTTTGCCTCGAGAAGATCCAGTTAGAGTTGATCTTCAACAATCCATGCTTGTTGTATGAGACGAATGACCGCATCGGGTGGTCAGGCTTGCTGACTTGGTTGACACATGTCATCGTATATCAGTTGCGTAAATCGATGGCCGCGGTGTCAATAACCGGAAAGTCTGTTGCAGACATACAAGCTGGGAATCTGCTGAAACGGCGTTTAGCAACAAAAACAGCAAATCATGTTTAATATCCACCCATGATGATTTTAGTTTCAGCGCTAATGGGCGGATGACTGGCTGACAAAGATCCATAACATCAGCTACTGATGAGCTGCAAATGTTTTAAAACAAAATATTTAATTTTCGTTGACGGTACATTATAATTTTTGATTAAGGTGAAAATGAAACTGAATTTCATATCAAGTCCTTTTGTACAAACAAATATGTATCCTTAAATGTTTTCAAACAAAATAGTTAATTTTCGTTGACGGTACATTTATACATTTTGATTAAGGGGAAAATGAAACTGAATTTCATATCAAGTCCTTTTGTACAACCAAATATGTATCCTTGTGTGATTAGGACAAATATGAATCTCATCAGGAAAACATTAAAAGCGAAATTTGATACTTCATATTGCGTGGACCTAAATGGATATGTGATTTATTTAATTCACGATATATTAGTGCTGTTCTTGAGATTAGTACATTTGGTCTAAATAAGCTTCCGACACGATCAAAACTGGTATCATAGAAACTTAGTAATTCATTCAAAACCTTCGTTTGTCTACTTGTCATTGCAGTGACGTGAAAACACTTACTTCAGCTCAACGCCGTGGGGTCAAATTTTGATATGTCACTTCCTTTTGTGTCGAATATGTCCAACTTCCGGTTTTGTCGTGCGTAATTTCATCACTTTGGCGCTATGTCGAATATCGGATAACCCGAAGTATTTACGCTGGTTCTTTCAGCTTCGACTCAAGTATGTTATGCATAACATGGACACTCGGCGTTCGGGACAACCGGCAATTCGACACATCCAGTCGAGACATTCGAGAGATCCAAGTATGAATGATGATGAATGATAGAAGGCATCCGGGCAGCGGCTGAAAGGTCAGTTCGGGAGGACCGAAGTTCGACATATTAAAGTGCACGCGTTTTTTATTGCTACACACAGAGATGTTTGTTTTAACACCAATTAATTTGAAACCCATTTTTATTGCTTCACACAGAGATGTTTGTTTTAACAGCGATTAATTTGAAAATGGCTATGTTGTTAAAACCTCTATAGTTACATAGCCGTTTGTTTCAATATGGACACATTTCAGAATGACAATGATTCTTGTTCCCCAAAACAACTTTCGACACACTTGAATATGAAGTGTTGTTCTATATCCTACAGGTACATGTGCGCGGTCAGTAATTTACAACCAGGTCGAAGGTTTAAAGTTTTGATCAATACAGTATTGCTATGATATCACATTGAATTGTTAATTTCACAATCGACACATTTCAATGTGACATTAATGCTTAATACTGATATACAGGTGCTTGTTTCACTGTCCACTCTCTTCAGTATGACAATGTTATTTAATACCTAATAGGCATACAGTGAGTATAGTTTTACACCGCTTTTAGCAATATACCAGACATATCACGGCGGGGACACCAGAAATATGCTTCACATATTGTACCAATGTTGGGAATCGAACCCGGATCTTCAGCTTGACGAAGAACGCTTTAAACACTAGGCTATCCCACCGCCACTTAATAGGTATACAGCTATTTGTACAACTATCGACACATTTCAATATGATAGTGTTATTGATGACGCTAAACGTACACAACTAGTTGTTTCACGTTCAACATATTTCATTATAACAGTGTACAGAGAATACACTCATAAATCATCTTCCCATGACTGGGTTCATTACTTGGCATCAATATCAAGACTTGTTACAATTATTCATGTTACACATTCGACACACAATATGCATTAACAGATACATGTGTTACTAAAATACACCAGCCAATACTTACAGCACCCTGCAGAGCGTCGTGGGAGTTAGAAAGTGACAGTGACGTCCTTCTAAAGAGGAAGTATAACAACTAACGAACTTTGGACCTTTTAAAATAAATAGATTGAAGTAGGGACAATGGGTTCGAAACACGAGACGAAGATACACATTGCTCGTCTTTAATACAGGCACTGAGCAAACATATCAAACACGACCCACGCTGTATTTTATAATACATCAGTTTCTGAAAATGCAGAAAGCCTCTGGGCTTCTTTTTATTATATTGTTTCAAGATTATTCTAACAAAGTCTTTTCTTTGAAAAATATTTTTCATGTTAGGGCCCAGATGTTAGTCTAAGGTAGGCTTATTTCTGTACGAGTGTTACCTCGCAAAAAGTCATACCAGTGTACAAATGAATAATTGAAATAAATTATACAGAAGTGAAAACCAAACGGTTCTGATACCGTCACAGAGTAAGTGAGCTGGTTCAGTTTGATTGTGTAAACAGTAGGAATACAATTAGAACCGTCAAGTATCCCACTTCGATGGAACAATGAACACAAGAGACAGAATGATCTGTATAAGGACCATCATCACAGTATACTACACGGTGACTCATATACGAGTGAGTGAGTGAGTTGGGTTTAGCGCCGCTTTGAACGAAATTCCAGTCACGGCGTGTCCTCGTAACGTGGGTGGAAAGCCCGAAGACGTGGATTCTCTCTCTCTCTCTCTCTCTCTCTCTCTCTCTCTCTCTCTCTCTCTCTCTCTCTCTCTCTCTCTCTCTCTCTCTCTCTCTCTCTCTCTCTCTCTCTCTCTCTCTCTCTCTCTCTCTCTCTCTCTCTCTCTCTCTCTCTCCACCGAAACGCTGCTCTCGCAGCAATAAAGAAGTTGTTCATCCATACATTACATGTATTGTTATCCATCCTTCCTCATCACACTGATTCTTACTATCTTACTATTCAATGACATACTAAACCTTCAAAACTTCATAGATATTCATAAGCACGCATTTACCTGAAATTAATATCACACCTAATCGTTTGTAGTTAACGCGGCTCGTAACGGTAATTGATACGGTAGGTGTCTTCCTGTTAGGGTCTGGCTCAGTTTGATACAAGTACTAAGCGTGTAATGGGCGATCACGTCGAGCATTATCGGGGCAAGCTTGCAATTAAGAAGTTGTAAATCCATTTCATTGCATGCATTGTTATCCATCCTTCCTCAACACATACCGAACCGAAACCGACCGAACAGAAGCTTTGCACCACCATACGTACCGTGGTAAGAACGTACCGTTTCACCCCTACCACTTTGGTGGATCCACGAGCACGAGTTGGACAGTGACAAATATAAACAATAATCGGGGTAAACAGGGATTCGACCCCATGATCACTTTTCTCGCGTGCTCAGGAGACGCAACTCTGGCAGAACAAACTTCAGCGGTTTTGTCAACTGACAACCAGGTTGAAAGTTGAAGTTTTGAATTTAAATACACAGCAAAATATATATTGTTCAGTATTGCTGTCTTATTGCATTGTATTGGTGTATTGTATTGTTTTGTTGTCTCGTAAAATTGTATTTTCATTGTTATTGGAGATATCATATAATTAAAAAAAGATAAAAAGATAACAATGCATGTAGAAATGGCGAACCAGTGCGAGAAATGATATTTTCATAAGGACTGCATGTTTAGCTAAGATGTGACTTTGTGTCAAGATTTAAAAACCAAAAACAATTGTGCACAAAATTTAACGTTCACAAAGAGGAAAGTTTACATAAACTGAAAATGATAAAAAATAATACGTAATGCATGTTGCTTTCATCACCTCTGAAAGGAGCTCATGTTACTCATGAGCATCACTGTACGAAGCTCATGTTACTCTCATCACCTCTGTACGAAGCTCACGTTACTCTCATTACCTCTGTAAGGAGCTCATGTTACTCTCATCACCTCTGTACGGAGCTCATGTTACTCTCAATCACCTCTGTACGGAGCTCATGTTACTCTCATTACCTCTGTACGGAGCTCATGTTACTCTCATCACCTCTGTATGGAGCTCATGTTACTCTCATTACCTCTGTACGGAGCTCATGTTACTCTCATCACCTCTGTACGGAGCTCATGTTACTCTCATCACCTCTGTACGGAGCTCGTGTTACTCTTATTACCTCTGTATGGAGCTCATCTTGCTTTCATCACCTCTGTACGGAGCTCGTTACTCTCATCACCTCTGTAAGGAGCTCGTTACTCTCATCACCTCTGTATGGAGCTCGTTTCTCTCATCACCTCTGTATGGAGCTCGTTACTCTCATCACCTCTGTACGGAGCTCATGTTAATCTCATTACCTCTGTATGGAGCTCATGTTACTCTCATCACCTCTGTACGGAGCTCATTTTGCTTTCATCACCTCTGTATGGAGCTCGTTACTCTCATCACCTCTGTACGGAGCTCATGTTACTCTCATCACCTCTGTACGGAGCTCACGTTACTCTCATCACCTCTGTACGGAGCTCGTGTTACTCTCATTACCTCTGTATGGAGCTCGTCATCTTGCTTTCATCACCTCTCATCATCACCTCTGTACGGAGCTCATGTTACTCTCATCACCTGTTACTCTGTCTCTCATCACCTCTGTACAGAGCTCATGTTACTCTCATCACCTCTGTACAGAGCTCATGTTACTCTCATCACCTCTGTACGGAGCTCACGTTACTCTCATCATCTCTGTACGGAGCTCATGTTACTCTTATTACCTCTGTATGGAGCTCATCTGTGGAGCTCTGTTACTCTCATCACCTCTGTACATGGAGCTCGTTACTCTCATCACCTCTGTATGGAGCTCATGTTACTCTCATCATCTCTGTACGGAGCTCATGTTACTCTTATTACCTCTGTATGGAGCTCATCTTGCTTTCATCACCTCTGTACAGAGCTCGTTACTCTCATCACCTCTGTACGGAGCTCACGTTACTCCCATCACCTCTGTACGGAGCTCATGTTACTCCTATTACCTCTGTATGGAGCTTATCTTGCTTTCATCACCTCTGTACAGAGCTCGTTACTCTCATCACCTCTGTAAGGAGCTCATGTTACTCTCATCACCTCTGTAAGGAGCTCATGTTACTCTCATCACCTCTGTACGGAGCTCAAGTTACTCTCATCACCTCTGTACGGAGCTCGTTACTCTCATTACCTCTGTAAGGAGCTCATGTTACTCTCATCACCTCTGTAAGGAGCTCATGTTACTCTCATCACCTCTGTATCGGAGCTCATGTTACTCTCATCACCTCTGTAAGGAGCTCATGTGCTCTCGTTCCTCTCATTACCTCTCTGTACGGAGAGCTCGTGTTACTCTCATCACCACCTCTGTATGGAGCTCATGATGCTCTCATTACCTCTGTACACAGCTCATGTTACTCTCACACCTCTGTATGGAGCTCATCTTGCTTTCATCACCTCTATAGAGAGCTCGTTACTCTCATCACCTCTGTCACGGAGCTCATGTTACTCTCATCACCTGTAAGTAGCTGGAGCTCACCTCTGTTGCCTCTGGAGCGTTACTCTCATCACCTCTGTAACGGAGCTCGTGTTACTCTTATCACCTCTGTATGGAGCTCGAGCTCATCTTGCTTTCATCACCTCTGTACAGAGCTCGTTACTCTCATCACCTCTGTACGGAGCTCATGTTACTCTCATCATCTGTGTATGGAGCTCGTTACTCTCATCACCTCAGTACGGAGCTCGAGTTACTTTTATTACCTCTGTATGGAGCTCATCTTGCTTTCATCACCTCTGTACAGAGCTCGTTACTCTCATCACCTCTGTACAGAGCTCGTTACTCTCATCACATCTGTACGGAGCTCGTGTTACTCTCATCACCTCTGTACGGAGCTCACGTTACTCTCATGCTGTAAACATTTTGTTAATGAATCTAGCTACACAAATGTCTTGTAATGTCAGGTACCCATTAACAGATCCCCATTGTGATTAATGTGCATGACGGATGGTGCTAATGGGTTGGGTGGTCCACATGCAGTTGATCACATACTGACAAAGGACAAGTCTTCAAGTATGTTTTCAATTTTATTTTCAGAAAAGCAGACCAGATGCCATACAATAGAAACAAAGAGCTTCAGCTTGAGAATTTACATGAATTTACACAATATACAAATCACAAGAAGTACACAAGATTCATTCTAAAATGCATTCTAACCAAAAACCTTGAAATGCCAATAAATTATGTACCCTTGACAAAAATGTACATCAGAAAAATCATCCCTAAAGTAATACCAGGACTTAAGGAGCAATAGATATTACAAAACCAAGAAATAACATTCATGACAGATATGTAGCCATTGTGTTAATCATGTATGCCTAAAGCTTAGCATGCCTAATGCTATGAAGAGGTGGTGGGTTAGCCAAGTGGTTAAAGTGTTCGCTAGGACACGCCGAAGACTCGGGTTCGATTCCCCACTTGTACATTAGTACAAAGTGTGAAGCCCATTCTAGTGTCCCCAACTGTGATATTGCTGGAATATTGCTAAAAGCAGCATCAAACTAAACTCAATTCATTCACTCACTTTATGCATTGAAACCTATCCCTTGAGGGCTTCAGGGTCCAAATAGGTCCCACTTACCTATAACAATTGGCATTTAATGGATTAGCACTGAGACGTGGCAGATTGTGTGTCATCGGTCCCAATGACCTAAATGCTAAAGATACCATCGTGTTAGTCCAGATGCTATCATTAACAGATGTGTTTTCCAACAATCACTCTATCAATGTACTTCACAGCTAAGGAAATACATGGGTTGATTCCCACATGGGTACAATGTGTGAAGCCCATTTCTGGTGTCCCCCACTGTGATATTGCTGGAATATTGCTAGCGGTGTAAAACCCAACTCACTCACTCACTAAGGAAATAAATGAATTTTAGTGAGCTGGGATTAAAGTCACAGCTTTCTAGTCATATAAGTCAGCTCAAGGTGAGAGTAAAACGTGATGCATGTCCATGATGTTTACTCCCAAAAACCTACAAGCATGGCACTGACAAAACTAGAAACGTTATTTGGGTGACCACAACCACAA